CTGCGTTAAAATTCTATTCTAATATTATAAAATAGTGTAATACAATCTATACTATATATAAAACCAAAATCCTGAAATTTTCACTTCCCGCCCAATTCCTAAAAAATCTCTCTTCCTAATAAAATATATTGATTTCTACTTTACCATTCGTACAATAATTCTGCGTTAAAATTCTATTCTAATAATATAAAATAGTGTAATACAATCTATACTATATATAAAACCAAAATCCTGAAATTTTAACTTCCCGCTCAATTCCTAAAAAATCTCTATTCCTAATAAAATATATTGATTTCTTCTTTTCCATTCGTACAATAATTCTGCGTTAAAATTCTATTTTAATATTATAAAATAGTGTAATACAATCTATACTATATATAAAACCAAAATCCTGAAATTTTCACTTCCCACCCAATTCCTAAAAAATCTCTCTTCCTAATAAAATATATTGATTTCTACTTTACCATTCGTACAATAATTCTGCGTTAAAATTCTATTCTAATAATATAAAATAGTGTAATACAATCTATACTATATATAAAACCAAAATCCTGAAATTTAACTTCCCGCTCAATTCCTAAAAAATCTCTCTTCATAATAAAATGTATTGATTTCTTCTTTTCCATTCGTACAATAATTCTGCGTTAAAATTCTATTCTAATATTATAAAATAGTGTAATACAATCTATACTATATATAAAACCAAAATCCTGAAATTTTCACTTCCCGCCCAATTCCTAAAAAATCTCTCTTCCTAATAAAATATATTGATTTCTACTTTACCATTCGTACAATAATTCTGCGTTAAAATTCTATTCTAATAATATAAAATAGTGTAATACAATCTATACTATATATAAAACCAAAATCCTGAAATTTTAACTTCCCGCTCAATTCCTAAAAAATCTCTATTCCTAATAAAATATATTGATTTCTTCTTTTCCATTCGTACAATAATTCTGCGTTAAAATTCTATTTTAATATTATAAAATAGTGTAATACAATCTATACTATATATAAAACCAAAATCCTGAAATTTTCACTTCCCGCCCAATTCCTAAAAAATCTCTCTTCCTAATAAAATATATTGATTTCTACTTTACCATTCGTACAATAATTCTGCGTTAAAATTCTATTCTAATAATATAAAATAGTGTAATACAATCTATACTATATATAAAACCAAAATCCTGAAATTTTAACTTCCCGCTCAATTCCTAAAAAATCTCTATTCCTAATAAAATATATTGATTTCTTCTTTTCCATTCGTACAATAATTCTGCGTTAAAATTCTATTCTAATATTATAAAATAGTGTAATACAATCTATACTATATATAAAACCAAAATCCTGAAATTTTCACTTCCCGCCCAATTCCTAAAAAATCTCTCTTCCTAATAAAATATATTGATTTCTACTTTCTCATTCGTACAATAATTCTGCGTTAAAATTCTATTGTAATATTATAAAATAGTGTAATACAATCTATACTATATATAAAATATATTGATTTCTACAATAATTCTGGGTTAAAATTTTATTGTAATATTATAAAATTGTGTAATACTATTCCTATTCTAATTTATATCTATTTTATATATCAGTGTTGTAAAAATCGTGTCGCTGGCCGCGACGAGGAAGGCCGGAATCGGCCTTCTCAGCTGCCGCCTCGCGGGCTGAACCGGCCTTTAATTTTTTTATTTTTTTTTTTAGTTGTAAAGTGTCAAAAGTTCGGCAAGGCATAACTTTTGACTCCGTTGTCCGTTTTGGACAAATGTTTTTTTGAAATCACGTAGTTTTTCGAGATCTATCCACCGCAAACTGCCGTAGGCGGTTTGGCCCACCAATTTCTAAAAAAATACTTTGTTAAAGAGTTTCTAAGAAAAAACTATGAGAACCTTATGTTTTATTAATGAATTTTTAGAATTTTTAATTAAACAATTATCCCGTGCATTATTTAATAATCTTTCTTTATAATTGGTCAAATTATTTAATTATGGTAAATTTGAGAATAATTAATTATGGTAATAGAAATCCTAGAAGAACCGCGCTGCTACTCACTACCGACGGTTACTACTTAGCCGCCAAGTCTCGCCATCTTGCCTCACACGAGTCACAACAGCGCTGGTCTATACAAGATTAGAAGAATAAGACATAAAAGACAGAAAAGCCCTTCTAATTCACGGTCAACAAACGGCTTCATTGACGGAGGAACCAAACTGTCCAACGACCAATAACAGTGTCTACTAAGTATGGCAATTTTTATTATGGAGGATGAAAAGTGTCAATGCCTCAATAAGTCTAGGACAAAAAATGGCATTAACTCCGGAATACAATACAAGAATATTTAATACAATACAATACGACCATTATATACTAACAGTACTTGAAAAAAAACTAATAATAATAATAATAATAATAATATAATATAAGTGGTAATAATAATATTTAAAAGTAATTAAGTGTTAATAATAATAGTAAGAATATTAACGTAAGAGTTGTAACATAGAATAAATTGTAATAATTAATAACTATAGTCTAGGATTAAATTTGGAATTGTCAGGAAAGATAAACGACCTCTGGTGAAATTAACTCTTAAATAATTATATATCGATTTAAATATTCTTAATATATTACAACAATTCCATTCCGTGCATCGCACGGGTGAAAATACTAGTTTTTTATAAAAATAAAAGAAGTTGTATTGCCACATTAGATAGCGAAATTTTTTTGTCCTTTTAGCTTTATTCACCATAAAATTTATCTAACTTTTGGGTGATGTTACATTGTTATTTTTATAAAAAATAAAAATGAAAAATTGTGATTTAAAAAGATTCTGTCTTTTGAAGAAAAAAAAAAAGGATTAAATCTCTTTTTTAGAGATTCCAGGAAAAAATAATTATAAATTTAAAATGTGTTGTGGTTGATATTTAAGATTCCAAAAGTATAATTGAAAATGGAAACAATCATAAAATCTCAATTAATTTAGCGGACAATTATAATTACCAAAAATACAACTTATCCGTACCACTTATAAAATAAACCGTACCTTAGGGTCCGTTTGGAAAGCAGGAAAATGACTTTTGGAAAATGTTTTCTGGAAAATGAGTCATTTTCCGGAAAACATTTTTCTTTTCAGTGTTTGGTTGCATTATGGAAAACTGTTTTTCTGTGTTTGGTTCATTTTCTGGAAAATGAGTAGAATTGTATAATTAAACATTTTAATTATTTTATTTAGAATATTACAACATGTATAATAATATATAATAATATAATATTAATTTTAAATATAATAAAAAATAGCTAAGTTTTTCAAAAAAAAAAAAAACTAATAATATATCAAAAATATTATGGTGGTGGTGGTGGTGGTGTAGTGGTAGTGGTGTTATTCGTTATATAATAATAATAATAATAATAATAATAATAATAATAATAATAATAATAATAATAATTGGTGGTGGTATGACGGTGGTGGTGTGGTGGCGGTGGTATGGTGGTGGTGGCGACGGTGGTGGTTGCGATGGTATGGTCGTGGAGGTGGCGGCGGCGGCGGTGTGATGGTGGTGGCGGTGGTTGCTGTGGTATGGTGGTGGCAGCGGCGACGGTGGTTGCGGTAGTATGCTGGTGGTGGCGGCGACAGCGGTAGTGGTGTTTGTGTGATGGTGGTAGTAGTATGACGGTGGTGGCAGTGGTCGTGTTGTTGCGGTGGTGGTGGCGGCGACGGTGGTTGCGGTGGTATGGTGGTGGTGGCGGCGGCGGTGGTTGCGGTGGTATGGTGGTGGTGGTGGCGGCGGCGGCGGTGACGGTGGTGTGGTGGTGGTGGCGGTGGTATGGTGGTGATGGCGGTGGCGGTGGTATGGTGGTAGTGGTGGCGGCGATGGTGGTTGTGGTGGTATGGTGGTGGTGGCGGTGGTAGCGGCGACAATGGTTGTAGTGGTATGGTGGTGGTGGTGGTGGTGGCGGCGACGGTGGTTGCGGTGGTATGATGGCGGTGGTTGCGGTGGTATGGTGGTGATGGCAGTGGCGGTGGTATGGTGGTAGTGGTGGCGGCGACGGTGGTTGCGGTGGTATGGTGGTGGTGGTGGCGGCGGTGGTGGTGTGAAGGTGGTGGTTGCGGTGTTGGTGGTGGTGGCGGCGGTGGTGGTGTGAAGGTGGTGGTTGCGGTGTTGGTGGTGGTTGTGGTGGGGGTGTGATGGTGGCGGGGGTATAGTGGTGGTGGCAGCGACAATAGTGGTGGTGATGGTGGTATGGTGTTGATGATGTTGGTGGTGGTGTGATGTTGGTGTAAAAGTTGGAAAATGACTTCTCCCAAAAAAAGGGGAAGTCATTTTCCTCCAAAACAAGCCTATTTTCCAAAGTCAACGGAAAATGATTTCCGTTGACTTGATTTTCCAGGCACATCCAAACACTGAAAACTTGGAAAATGATTTCCAGAACTCATTTTCCAGGTTTCCAAACACACCCTTAGTTGAATTCCAGAAGCATTCATTCATCGTCAGAAGAGGTAACTTTTTAAGTCTTGTTTTTTCTTTTCTTTTCTTTTCTTTTCTTTCTTTCTGCATTATATTTTCAGTAATATATATATTAGTACTTTATCCCCCATTGCCATTGTTGCTGACTTGCAGTTGATTCGTAGTTATAAATTAGCTGTGTTGATTTTTAATCATTATATCAAATAAAAATGCTTTTTCTCTATCTTTTTTTATAGGGTTATGTATATATGCTTTTACAAATTATAACAAATTTTTGTCAAGTATCATTTTTTAAAAATATTAATTTATTATATTATTCTCAAAAAGTTGAATGGGCCAAAAAAGCATCTGATGAGACTCGATCTCAGATCATTGTTTCAAACTTCACCTCTGTGACCAACTGCCTATGCGGGCTATTAATTTATTTATTGTGTTGTTGCTTGATTGATTAATATTGTTTTTGTGGTTTAATTGAAATTCATAATAATGACAATAATGTTTCTTTGTTAGGTTTCGAACCTCTCGAAGATGGGTCGAAGAAAAAAAGAATTAAAACTTATAAGCAATAGAAAAAGGCGGTGTGTGACGTACCAGAAAAGGAAAAAGGGATTAGAGAAGAAAGCTTATGAGCTATCGACGCTTTGCGACGTTAAGGTTTGTCTAATAATGTATGGCCCTAAAGAAAATACGGAGAATCAAACCCCAGAGCCCAACATATGGCCGGAAAACCCAGAATTTGTTTCTAGCATGATTGGATCTTATCAAGATCAACTCGAATCTAATAAGAAAATTCGAACCCAAGATCTCTCAACGTTTTATGAACGTGTGAAGAAGCGCGATGAAAGGAAGAATAATGTTAACGCCGTTAAGTACCCGACATGGAATGAGCGTTTAAATAGGATGTCGGCTTGTGAGTTGAGTAACGTTATTAGTGAGTTGGACGTTAAGATTAAGGCTGCGGAGGAGAGGATTGATTTCTTGAAGGGAAAGAGAATAACGGTTTCCCCGCAAACACCGGATCTGCCGCCGCCGCCGCTGGTTTCTCGAGGACTGGTCGGAACAAGCAGTTTGCAGATGGAAAGCATTCAACAAACCTCGTACAACATTAATCCTGCTATGATAAATCATGATGGACGTCATCTGGTGGCGGCAGCGACTGACGTCAGGGTGACGAAGAATCGGGTAATGATGACGAAAGTTGAGCCTATGCCCAGCAGTTTGCTATCTTGCGCCCAACCTGCCGCCGTGATGAGGCCGTACTTGCAGAACCTGCCGGCGGCGACGCTGCCTTACGGTTGTAATCTCCCGGCGGCCGTTATTCCGTACGGTCAGTATCAGTGGATGCATTACTCTGATAATGTGATGAGAAGTGGATACTATCCCTAAAAAATTATATTATTCTTGTTTTATTGTTATTATTATTTTTCTTTTTGTTGAGTGTTATTTAATTTGAATAATTGAATCTTAAACTTGATTGAGTTTAAGATTTCTGAAGAGTGGTTGGAGGGAGGAGACTAGGAAACAGATTATACGTTATAGTACGTTATAGCTGATATATATGTCAAATAAGTTCTTATTTGAACATGAAGATCGAGAATAAATAAAATTTTAATTTCTTACTTTGTTTTAAAAAATAATAAAAATAAAAATAAAATCTTTAATTTTACTTCCCTGCAAAGAATGAACTTGCTTCTTGTCAATTAGTCATGGCGGCCGTCAAATCATGAATTGATCTTATTCTTTCAAGCGATAATTAGGAGCATGTACATACAATAGTAGTTGTAACTATTTGTGGACTAACTGTCATTTTAATAATCTTTTATTTTATACCCATCTATTAATACGGAGTATAATTTTATTTAAATTTAAATAATAATTTAAATTAATTCTAGTATCAGTAAATATTTTCATTGTTTGGCTGAATATCATAAAACAATCTTTCTCTGTTTAGTTGAAAATCAAAAAGATTATATTATTTAGTTTGGTTCATTTTTTAAAAACATGAATATAAATATATTATAAAATTATTTCTTGTAAAATATTATTAATTACTTTAATAATAATGATTATTATTATTTATATTTAAATAAAATTATATTATAAAATTTTTAAAAAAGTTATCAAATAGGCCCTCAAACTTTAAAAGTTCCAATTTCACACTCGAACTCATTAAAATCGTTCATCCAAATCCATTTTACCATTTTTTACCTGTTACCATCCAATCACCTACCACATCTACGCCATATTTGATTTATACAATATATTTTTTGAAAGCGATTTATACAATATATTTAATATAATAATAACAATAATAATTATAATAAGAGTTAATTACTGAAATGATCCCTTAACTATTGCGAAATTATCAATTTGGTCCTTGACTATTTTTTTGACCAATTAAGTCCATCAACTTAAAAAATCTTAACCAATTTAATTGGTCCTCCGTTTGTTTGACCGTTAGTCAACCGTTAACTTGGAACCAAATTGATAATTCGCTATAGTCAAGGGACCATTTTAGTAATTAATTTTAAGGGTCGGCAATTCGGTTAAGTTTTCTCGAACCGTACCGTACCAAACTAGTTAGATTCGGTAATATATCGAACAACCGAATGGTAATAGATTCTTGTATACCGAATGGTTCGGTAAAAACTCGAACTGAACTGAATTGTTTGGTAAAAATCGAACCAAACCGAATACCGTTTGAACTTTAGATTGCTATTTTGTTATATATTAGACTTTGGATATGGACTATGTAAACACCATAACACATAATAGAATTTTTGATAACAAACCATAAAGAAATCAAATAAAACATTTACGAGAGGTGAGAATATGAGCTGAACGGCAGAGCAAGCAACAAGGGACTTGGATTTAATTTTTATTTATTTATTTATTTATTTATTATTATTATTATTATTATATTTTCTTTTAAAAATCAAACGGTATTCGGTTCAGTTCAATTTTTTACTGAGCAATTCGGATCGGTTCGGATCAATTTTTTATCAAACCGTTCGGTATACAAGAATCCAATACCGTTCGGTTGTTCGGTATATTACCGAACCAAACTAGTTCGGTTCGGTTCGGTACGGTTCGATTCGAGAAAACTAAATCGAATTGCCCACCCCTAAAGTTAATTACCAAAATGGTCCCTTGACTATAGCGAAATTACCAATTTGGTCCCAAGTTAACGGTTGACTAACGGTCAAACTAACAGAGGACCAAATTGGTTAAAAATTTTAAAGTTGAGGGACTTAATTGGTTAAAAAAAATAGTCAAGGACCAAATTGGTAATTTCACTATAGTCAAGGGACCATTTTGATAATTAACTCTTATAATTATTATTATTATTATTATATCTTATTTTAAATTTATCTTGCTCAAATTCAAACTTGTGTTAACTGCCCTCGCCGTTGGAGTCACGTCATTCCCATCCTAATCAATTGCGGGGCAAAAAAAATAAGACAATTGATCCTAATATGCTGACATCCAAAATATAAAAGTAAAACAAAAAAACAAAAAAAAAAACAAAACAAAAAAAAAACAAAAAAAAAAAAAACAAAACAAAACAAAAAAACAAAAAAGCAAAAAAAAAAATAAAAATCCAAAGTAAATTTGAGGAGCAAAAAAAATATATAAACAAAAATCTAAAAGTAGTGAAGCAACGTGCGCTAGTATGCAACATTTTCTTCCCAGGGATCATATCATCAACAATGTACAAAAGATCTGCTTCTGTCTGCAAAGCCATTTGGAACCTGCTATATAGTTCTTGAAATCATAGCTTGAGCTGAATAAATCCCTAGTAAAACATATTAAAGTAGTAACAAAACCCAATAGCAGAAAAATTATTTTAAACTTGTCTTCATCCACAAAATATCAAAAACCAACCGCTACAAACATCTGAAATACAAGCCAACTTTAATATGTACCAACTATGGGTTAGAAGCCGAGTCATGCAAAGAAGATGCATGGATACAACAATGAAAAAATATACTACTTTTTGTGCTCAATATCTAATCGAGAAAATAAATTTAATGCACTTTTAACAAGGTTGGTGTAGTATGCATGAAACATCTATAAACTAGATAAGCCAAACGGTATAGAAGTCGATTTGTCATTTTAAACATCAATCATCATGAGCCTGGCTGGTTGTAGCCCCTTTACTTTGCTACCAGTGCCCTCTATTAAAATAAGTATAGGCTGGTGTACCTTCATATACAAGACATGAAGTAGCTTGGTTAGTTGGTGCTTGTTTAGCCATCGAGGTCACTGGTTCGACATTTCACTCCTTTACCTTCCCATGCGTCCAGCCATGCCTAGAGTGCACTAATGCACCCACCTTCACTTGCCTCTCCGGTGGGGCGCCATTGGTGTGACAGGCCAGGCCATGCCAGCTCAGGCCCCTAGTGGTGGTTATAACCCAGCCCCTTCTTGTGGGCTGACATGTCTTCCATCGCCCCTCCTTTTTGGGCCGACATGCTTCCCTCACCCCCTTGCCTTACCTTCCAAGCGTAATGCCTCCTTTTCCCTTGCTTTTGAGTCTCCTCCCCTCCTTTAAACCCAAAATACCTCTTATTCACTCCTCTTGAGCCAAGACTTTGCTAATAAAATGGGACTCAGGCTCTACAACTCCATTAGTTAGTGTTACATTTTCTAGCATAAGTATTACATTTTCATCTTGACTCAACCTATTTTATATACAAGGATCCGTGAAACAGTCTCACAAAAGTCTCACAAAAGACTTACCTATATTTTATGATTTTTTTTTTTTACCATGCAGAGAATAAATTAAATTTTAAGTTTTTAATTTATTTAAAAAATAAAAATATATAAAAGCCCTTTTCTTTTATGCAAAGAAAGGGTAGCCAAGTGGATGAAGAATGACAAATTATTGTGTGGATGAAAGAATAATTTTTATATCTAAAAATTATGAATTTGATTCTTGTCATCAATATCTAGACCAATGAAATTGAAAAAAAAAAAAAAAAAAAAAAAAAAAAAAAAGCCTAAATGCAAAGAGACCAAGGTTCGAACCTTGGCGGCGGCAGTGTGAGAATTAGGTCCAAAGTGGGCAGATTCCTTATGCGCATCGGCATTTGGCCCTGTCTACTAACCCATTCAGCCTTTGGGTATGAAATTGAAAAAAAATAAAATTATTCCCTTCTTTCTCTTTTTCTCAATAGGAATGTACTTATAATATTTTTTTTTTTGAACATACTTATAATTTTTCTTAACTAATTTCACATGCAATGCATAATTTTTCCTTAAACCCTCAAACAGGCTTTTCTTCTTTACGACCCACCGGATAGCTCAATTAGTTTCTGAATAATAAATTATAAGTAAGGACATAAGATTAATTCTGATTGAATCTTGGCAGCTGCAGTGTAAAAGTTACATTGTACTCGGCCCAATATGGTGGGTTCATGGTGGATTGAGTCTTGACGATCTATTTTTTTAATGGATGATATTGGTTCTAAGAGCGTTATGATGTGGAACCGTGCCCACCTTGCAAGGTGGGTACGGTTGTAGATTCATAATTTGTATAATGTAGATTCATAATTTCTATACTGTATATTCATAATTTCTAAACCGTAGATTTATAATTTAAATACAGTAGATTCATAATTTCTATACTGCAGAATTTCTGTACTGTAGATTCATAATTTCTAAACTGTATAGTTATCAAATTATGGACATATAGTTCTGTGATTTGTGAATACAAAGTTCAACAATTGAATATGTGAACATAAAAAATTATGAACATATAGCTCTGATCTATAATTATGAACATATATTTATAAAACTAGTATTTTCACCCGTGCGATGCACGAAATGAAATTGTTGTAATATATTAAGAATATTTTATTGGGAAGAGAGAATTTTTAGAAATTGCGGAAAGTTAAAATTTCTAAATTTTATTTTTATATATAGTATAGATGTGCAAAGGGATTTGTATTACACTATTTTATAATTTTAGAATAGAATTTTTACCCAGAATTATTGTATGAATGGAAAAGTAGAAATACAAATATTTTATTAGAAAGAGATTTTTTAGGAATTGGGCGGAAAGTTAAAATTTCAGGATTTTGTTTTTATATATTGTATAAATTAGATGTGCAAAGAGAATTGTATTACACTATTTTATAATTTTAGAATAGAATTTTTACCTAGAATTATTGTACGAATGAGAAAGTAGAAATCAATATATTTTATTGGGAAGAGAGATTTTTTAGGAATTGGGCGTGAAGTTAAAATTTTAGGATTTTTTTTTTTTATATATAGTATAGATTAGATGTGCAAAGAGAATTGTATTACACTATTTTATAATTTTAGAATAGAATATTTACCCAGAATTATTGTACGAATGGGAAAGTAGAAATCAATATATT